CCCCCCCCCCCCCCCCCCCCCCCCCCCCCCCCCCAACGGGACCTGGATTCTACCCTCAACCACTGGGTCAGCTCGCCACCTTTGCCCCAGGACATAGACAGGTTGCCCACAAAAAAGGACATAAGGATGAAGCCTGACGCTACAGCACGATGGCCCCTGAGGACATGGTGCTGAGACAGGCCAGTCACAGGGACAAACACTGCGGGGTTCACTGAGGCCGGAGCTGGAGAGTCGGGTCACAGACGGAAAGCAGACGGGGCGGGGGCGGCCTGGAGGGGCAGCTGCGGAGCTGCTGATCAGTGCGGACTGAGTTTCAGTTTGGGAAGATGAAGGTCTGCAGGTGGATGGTGGGGTGGCCGCACGACAACATGAATGTGCCTAATGCCACCGAGCTGGACACTTAAAAACAGTTACGGCGGTCAATTCTGTGTTATGCGCACGTTACCACAATTAACAAAAAATAAAAACAATGAAGCCTAAACACAGGCAAAGGTGACCAACCTCCCTCGTGGGAAAAGCCGCTCTTCACCCCTCGGGTTCGCAGAACAGAAACACCTGGGGACACCCTGTGCAGGTGGGCAAGGGCGTGGCACGCGGGCCCCTCGGGTGGCGGCAGAGGACACTGCACGCTCGTCGGAGGGTGCTGGTGACAGACACACGACCCTGCCCGCACACCCGGGGTGATGCAGGCCACATGGGCACGAGGCTCATGGGAGTGACCGAGTGCCCCTCAGGGGCAGAGGTTAAGTGAAGGACGGCACATCCAGGGTGGGATGCCGGCTCGGTCCCGCCACCACGGAGAGAGAGCCCCGGGAGGTGGGGGGGTGGGCTAGGGGGGTGAGCGAGCGTGACAGCCATTTGTACGCACGGCCCCCGTGCTCGCCCCTCCCTCAGGTGCTCCCCTCGGCCCTCGTCGGCCAGCTGGACCCACCCCGATGTGGAGGCACCCCCTTCTTAGGACAGCGCCCGTGAGCCCCGCGATGTCCCGACAGGCAGATGCTGATGGGCTGCATTAGGAGACACATCAAGCAAGGCCCTGGCCCGCACCGAGCCCAATAGCGGGAGGACCGCCACCACCTCTGCAGGGAACGCAGCAAGTACCCAAGCAGGGTGCTCCCCTCCAGGCTCTGCAGCTCCAGCCCTGCCTGCCTGACTGGATGGCTGGCTCTTAGGAGGCAGTGCCAATCAATTATTCTTTCCTGCCAGGAGCAAACGCGCCATCCCTGTTCTATTATAAAGCATTAATAATACAAGAAGCTAGGAAGGCGAGGGCTCATGGCCACATCTGGAAGGAAGACCTAGCTCAGGTGCTTGGGGAGGAATCCAGGTCCCAGGCCACCAGATCTGGCGTCCACTCGGGCAGAGCATCCACAGCTAGTGTGGTGGGGGCCTGGATGGCTCTGGGTTTCTTCACTGACAACAGGGAGGATTTGGGCAGCTGTGCCCACAACGGAGAGCCCGGCGGCCATACCTGGCCAGGAGGGGACCACAGGAAGCCCCCCGCCCCCCCGCTGCCAAGACACAAGCTTCCAGAAGAGGCAGGGCCTGCTCACGCCTGGTTCCCACCAGAGCCGCGAAGCCTGCTGAGGAAAGCTGCTCTCCAAATAGGGGCCACTGTCCCCACGTGGGCTGATGAGGCCCAGCCTGGGCTCGGCCAGCTGCCAGGGCTTGATGACATGCACTCTGGGACAGCCAGGCAGACCAGCCAGGCACCCAGAGGCAGCTGCCCTCGGCCCAGGGGCCAGCAGCTCCCAGACAGCGCCCCGCGACCCCTCGAGTCAAACTCCCGGGGATCAGGCTGTGCGAGAAGTTTGCCAGTCACCCAGAAAACCAGTGAGGAAGGAAAAGAAAACCGGCCAATGGACAAATTATCCTCAGCCCGGGGATGAGCCCCCACCGGTGAGGCTGGGGGTGGTTTGGGGCGAGATGGGCAACAGCCCCGTCTGTGTCTGACCAGCCTGGGCAGGACGCAGTCTACCCAAGCGCACGCCCAGCTTGGCAACCTGAGGATGGGGACAGCCCCCGCCCCCCAGCGAGGGGCCTGGCATCTGCGGCCACGCAGAGCGGAGGACACCCCGGTACTCACAGGGTCCCTCAGCTCGTCGCTGTCCCGGGGCAAGGTCCGAGGTACCTTCAGGGCTGTCTCGTCCCCGCCCTCGGTGTCCGAGGCGTTTGGAGACTCCGCTAGGTCAAGGAGGTCGTCTCTCTTGTGGCCTCTGAGCCTGAGCTTGTCCAGCCTCCTCAGCATGGTCAGCACGGAGCCCCTCTGCTTTCCCTTAACATGGCGCTCGGAGCCCCTGCAAGACAGCAAGGGGGGGGCACGGTCACGGGGTCAGCCGCCCGCCGGCCTCCGCCCTCCCACACCCGGCTCCAGGCCCTGCCCTCAGGGAGCAGCCAGTCCTGCTATTCAGGGACCCCGGGGCCCACAGGCTCCCGTCTCGTGCCCACCAGGCCGGGGCCCTCTGTCACCCCCATCCGGCTGGGCTGGCCGCTGAGCTCAGACCCCTGCCGCCCACCCAGGCCAGCTCCCCTCAGTGCCCCACAGGGCAGAAGGAAGCCACGTCTTGTCTCTCGGTGCGACCTCCCAGGGCAAAGGCGGAGCCAGCCTGGAGCAGCAGGGGAGCCGAAGACCCTGGGAAGAGGGGGCTGGGGAGGGGAGGGGGAGACACCGCAGCGAGAAGCGGGGAGGGCCGGCGCGCCTCCTACCAGGCTCTAACAACCGTCAAGACCCACGGCCACGTGCACGCCCAGGACAGCCCCTAGAACGCTGGGCCTCAGGGTGTCTCAGACTCCCTCCGGGCCCCGTCCTCTTGTTCCACCTGGCCCCGCTCCCAGGGACACGGCCCAGGCTGCCCCATCGACCTGAAACACCGTCCTCCTCGCCTGGGCGCCCTAGCTCTACTCTCAGGACCAGCTCAGCCTCACTCGCTCCGAGAGATCTTCCCACACACGGCCAGTCAAGAGCCCAGCGCCCGCCCACCTGCCTCCTGAGCACAGCCCCCAGGCTGCCGGCGCTGGATCCCTCCAGCCTGGAGGGAGGGCAGCAAAGGCCTGGTGTGGTGTCTGTGTGTGCTGGCACGGAGGACACGTGTAAGTTCAAATGCACACGCACACGCCAGAGACGGATGCCTATAGGGGTGCCCACTCCCCACATCTCTGACCCAACCCGGCCAGGAAAGCCCAGTGGGTGGGGCGTCGTGGCCCTTCTGCACGTCCAGCCCACCTCACTCCCAAGCCCACGGCAGGGGCCGCGCGGGCCGACCCCGGTCCCGCTCATACAGTCCCTCGGCCCCCAACGTCTGCGAGAGGCCCTGGGTCCCTGCGGGGCAGGGACTCTGGACACACCTGGGCTCACAGCCTGTCCCACCACTTCCCACCTTTCTGGGCCTCAGCTTCTACCTCTGAACCGGGATTAACCCCAATCAGGCCGAAGCATCCCAAGAATCTGAGATGACGCACAAGCACAGACTCCTCAGCCTGGACCCAATAAACAGCACAGTGATTTCCTGCAGGGTGGGCAGGAAGTGGGGTGAGCAGGGTGGAATCCGTCAACTCAGCCCGAACCGCCCCAGTTGGGACAGTTTACGGAGAACCACGAAAGCAGGGAGAAACACTTCCTGTTCCGGATGGTGCAGGCGCGGAGCCGTTAAATCACAGGCCAGGGTGCCTGCCCGCAGCCCTGCGCACCCGCCCCACCTGCCAAGGGGCCTCCACTCCCCCGGCATCACTGCTCAAGGCAGGAAAGATTGTGAACAGTGGCGGCCCGTGAGCCCCACGTCAGAATGAGCCAGGGCTCCGCTCTCTCTACAAGGACAACTGAGGCTGCAGCACATCGGGGGAAGGTGTGCAGGTGTTCCTGGGACAGATGCTTCTCGGGGCTCATGTGGAACACTAAGGTGGCCTGATGTGGCCTAAGCCTAACCCTAACCCTGCTGTGAAACCCACCATCCCCTGGAGTCCAGGGTAGCCCAGGAGTGGGCAAGGCCACAGGGCTGGAGAAGCCCGTGTCCCTGCTCACGTGGCAGGAAAGGGGCACGTGGCCGGCCATCTGGAAAGATATCCACGTGAGAAGAGAGAACTTAAGTCCCTGGAGAGAGGCTGACAGTCTACACTGAGAGACTGAAAAAATTAAAAGACCCAGTCAACCAGAAGTAAATAGACATTTGTTTTAAAGCTGCAACGAGGGGCTTCCCTGGTGGCGCAGTGGTTAAGAATCCACCTGCCAGTGCAGGGGACACAGGTTCGAGCCCTGGTCCGGGAAGCTCCCACATGCTGCGGAGCAACTAAGCCCGTGCGCCACAACTACTGAGCCTGTGCTCTAGAGCCCGCAAGCCACTACTGAAGCCCGCGCGCCTAGAGCCCGTGCGCCCAACCAGAGAAGCCACCGCAATGAGAAGCCCGTGCACCGCAACGAAGAGTAGCCACCGCTCGCCGCAACTAGAGAAAGCCCGCGCGCAGCAACAAAGACCCAATGCAGCCAAAGATAAAATAAATAAAATAAAATAAATAAATTAATTTTTTTTAAAAAGCTGCAATGAAACAGGAGATACATGTAGCAAGCCAGGTACATGAGAATATTTTTGTTGTGAGACAACCTGAACAAATTGGTGAAGGTTAGAGGACCTTGGAACACAGACCCACAAACTCACTGAGCAAGAGGAAAGTTACCCAGTCCTTGTGCAAAAGCCTCCAACTTCACCAAAAAGGAAACAAAAGCCAGCGATGTGGCAGAGGCAGCAGGAAGCGTGAACATCAACACCCTCTGAACCAGTGATTCCCGGTCTCGAGATCTGTCCCAGGGGCAAATCCAGCACGTGAAGGGCATCTCGGCAGCACCACGGCCAGGCCGGGCGCTCTGAGTGCCACGCGAGACGCACAGACGTCCCTGGGAGTCTCAGAGGCGGTGACAAAACGTTGCTGCACCGAGGTCACCGTTACAGGCAACTGGCATCTACACAGACCGCAGGTGACACAGGACCCTGCTTGAGGCTTGCGGGTGGCTGTGAAACTTCTCTCCACGTGTCCTTTCCCATTGCTTTTCTAACTTTAAAACTAAAAGCAAAGCAGGCAGGGGACGTGCAGCCATGTAAAACCTCCTTCCTTCCGTTTTCAGAAGGACCTGGGGGAACCCCTCCTCCCCCAGCGTCGGATGGAAGCGGGGCGGAGGGGATGGGCCTGCTTCCCTCCTTGCCCGGTCCCGTCAGGCGGTTCTCCTGTCTGGGACTCCCCACCCCGCAGGCTGGAGCTGCCTTCCTTCCTGATTCAGCCCGGCAAGCAAATGATGTGGCCGCGCGGGGAAAGGGGACGAAGCGCCAAGTGTCCGCCCTGCCACCATCAGGATGCCGCTCACAACCCACGCTGCCCCGGCACTGAGCCCACGCACCCCCCTGCCCAGCGGGGCCCCTGCTGGCAGCTGCCAGCTCACGCCAACCCCGCTCCTCCTGACAGCCGCTCACATCAGCCCTCGGCGAGGGCGGGGGTCCCCGAGGGCCCGCTCCGTCCCCACTGCCCTGCCCCCAGGCCCCTGGGGCTCCTGGAGAGGCGGCAGTTCATGCCGCTGCCCAATGAGGACCAGGTGCCAGGACACCTGACCACCCCTCCCAGGCGGGTCCGGGCTGCGAGGGAAGCCCTCCCCGTCACACACCCCACCCCACCCCCGGGCTGAGGGGCGGCCCACCCTACCCCGGCACGACCTCATCTCAACTACACCATCCAACCCAGTCACCCCCAACTTCCAGATGAAGAGATGGAAGTCCGACACGGATGTTGTCCACGGACAGTGAGAGGGGGGCCGGGGGCCGGACACCAAGTGTGACCCAGAGCAAAGCTCTCCCCACAAAGCCAGGGTCAGTGGACGCCATCTCCACAAAGCTCACCTGCACCTTCCGTCCAGCAGCTGCCATGTGTCCCACTCCCGCCCCAGCCCCCATCCAGCCTTCCCTGGATCCAACCAGCCTCCAACTCCCTGCACACCCACCACGCACTCCCCACAGACCCGGCCCCTCCCATGTGCACCCACAGGCCCCCGGGCAGCTCCCTTCACTCCCACCCCTCAAGGTGGGGCAGCCCCTCAGAGCAGGACCTGCTGCCGCCCCAGCTCCCCGTACCTCCACGTGAAAGTAGACGCGCTGGGAGACGCTCCCCGTGGCTACTCCAGACCCCTGCTCAGAGCCGCGACATCTGCAAGGAGCCCTGCAGCCGTGGAGGCAAGCAGACAGAGGGACAGGGCGAGGGGAGCCTCAAGGCAGCGTCCGTGCGCTGCGGGCCCTCGGGACACAGGACTGAGGCCAGCTCTGGCCCCGGGACACAGAGCACGCTGCTCTGGAAACCCGCTGAATGGCTCCTGGACACACAAAGGCCGCAGTGTCTAGGGAACACTGGACTTGGAAACCACAAAGGACTTTACTTTCCCTCCCAGACCAAGATTTAGAAAAAAGTGGTTCCTGGCCCAGCACTTGCCACGTCCCAGGTCCCAGCCATTCTCCTCGCTGCATGGGGCTCGCGACCCCCGGCCGAGCTCCCATCTGCGTTCAGACAACCAGCTCAGCCTGACTTCATCCCCTGTTATCTGGTGGCTCTTCTGCTGATCCCAGGATAAACAACATCCTTTTTCCCAAAGGGAGCAACCCTTGTCCTAAACCATATTCCTGGGGGGGTCACAGATGTTGAGCGAGGACAGAGACTCTCCCTCCACCCCACCCAAGGCCAGTCCCAGCCGGCCACCGGGCCCTCTGCCAGGTCTCTGTTCTCCAAGAAGACAGCCCCAGAGGCCCACAGCCCTGCAGGACCCCAACACGCACACAGCTCCAGGGCAGCCTGTGGGGCCCCATGCCGGGCCACCCCGCCCGGGGAGCAGTTTGGGACGCCCGAGACCCAGAAGGCATGGGTGACCGCTCCCCCCAATCATGCCAGGCTCGAGATGCTGGCTCACGCCCAGTGACCCACGGGTTCCCCCGAACTCGAGGCTGGTCAGGGAGCCACTGCCCCGACGCCGGATCCAGCCTCAGTAAGTGGGACCCCAAACATTCAGACACTCTGCTGACTGCACACCCACCAGCCTCCCCGTGAGCTGGACTCCGGGTGACCCACTGTCTGTGGGACATCTCATCGGTAGCTCGACTCTGCCACACTCAGCTCGGAGCTGGAGCCTCCGCGGGCCCTCCTCCTGGGTGGCACCTGTACCAGCAGCTGCTCAAGTCAAAACCCTGGAAGGAGCCCTTGATCACGTGATCGCTGCACAGCCACCTACAGCGAGCAGGGCCCCCGCCTCCCAGCCAGGCTCCA